TCGCTGTAGTTTGGAGGCCATCACTATTAGGTTGGAGGCCATCGCTACTAGGTTGGAGGCCATCGCTATTGGGCTATTAGGTTGGAGGCCGTCGCTATCAGGTTGGAGGCCATCGGTATTAGGTTGGAGGCCATCGCTATCAGGTTGGAGGCCATCGCTATTATAGGTTGCGGGCCATCGCTATTAGGTTGGAGGCCATCGCTATTAGGTTGGAGGCCATGGCCATGGCTATCATCCTGCTTAGGTGGGAGGCCATCGCTGTCAGGTTGGAGGCCATCGCAATCAGGTTGGAGGCCTTCGCTACTGAGCCACGTCAAAAACCTCCATGAAGAGTTTTTTTGGCATGCAGTTGTCCCAACATAACCCCCGCGAAAGGCTAAAACCTAAGTCTCGCGAAAGCTTCGAGAAAGTTGTTGCGAAAGACACCGTGCAAAATTGGTTGCGAAAGGAGTATGCGAAAAGGCGCGTTATGTAAGATTTGTTTCAGCGCTAGCTGATTTGACGCAACTTCGCCATTGTCGCCATGAGAGCTTTGTGTAAATATGTACAAGGACGTTTCTAGCCCCAAACTGAACCGTTTTTTCTGTATTGCACCAGTGCCCATGGTGGGCAAGTCAGATAGCAGCCTCATAGCAGCCAAGGAATTCTTACAATAAACAGAAACCAAGAAACCATGTTCTGACCATGGGTTTCTTGAAGTCGAAGGTCGAAAATCCGCGAACGGCGCGCGAAAGGCTCGAGAAAGGTGACGGCTCCATGTTCAAGATGTAGCCCATCGATTTGCATTTTCTACTTGCCACGCGAAAAGGAAAATTTGCTAGGAGGAGGCAATATAGATTTATGTATATGTAGACTGTAGAGGTATACACATGTTGTTCCCCACCTGCGAGGTGAGGGTTGTTGGGTTTTATCAGATCTCTTCTCAGAAGGAGGCTCTTCTCCTCCTCTGCCCCTTCCCCTCCTGCAAGTGCCGGATCGCAGTGGGCGCTACCGGACCTCAACCGCGAGTGGGCACTACCGGACCTCAACGCAAAACACACAACCACACAACATTGAAATGTCATGGTGGGGATCGCTCGAAGTAAAGTTTTATGTGTGTATTTTAACTTCTCTCACGAAAGGTCCTGCGAAAGGATTTGAGCAAATGGCGTATGCCCGCGAAAGGTAAGACTGTGGTCACGAAAGGACACGATAGCCTGTCCCGAAAGGATGCTAGGACTACAAAGCCATTTCCAATAGGTTTTCGACGCAGCTCATTATTAGGTTGGAGGCCATCGATATCAGGTTGGAGGACATCGCTGATTAGGTTGGAGGCCATCGCTATCAGGCTGGAGGCCATCGCTATTACGTTGGATGCGATCGCTATCAGGTTGGAGGCCATTGCTATCAGGTTGGAGGCCATCGCAAGGTTAGAGGCCATCGCTATCAGGTTGGAGGCCATCGCTATTAGGTTGGAGGCCATCAGCTATCAGGTTGGAGGCCATCGCTATTAGAGGTTGGAGCCATCGCTATTAGGTTGGAGGCCATCGCTACTGGGCTATTAGG